GACATCAGAAGAAGAACTTGACTTGGGAATGTAATTATATTTATCATGTCATTGTCGTTGATGTGAGCATAAAACATAATTATCCTACCTATCATTTTAGACTCCAAGTATCATGAGTAATTTTTAGAGAGGAACTTAATGTCTTTCTCATGTAGATTGTTATTTATTTTGTTTAGATCTTAAAATAATGAGACATTTTAAGTGTGGGTCAAGGGTATATGTGCCTGGTTAAACTGTCGTTTATTTTTCAATGAGCACTCTGATTCCAGAGAAGAATATATTCCCATTACCAGAAGAAACCTTTAAGTCATTGGATTTCTAAATTTTGCTTGGTGAGCTTATCTATTCTTACAATCATTAGAAATATATAGAAGAGAACATATTTCTACATACAATTTCTGTATAAAATATTTCTGCATAAAATATACTCATTTACCTTATGAAAATGTACAGCTAAAAAGATCAAGTGTAGGTTCGTCAGGTTTTAAGAATATTCTTGAGCTTAAAAGTTTCGCAGATTCAGCGACATAAGAATTGTTGACATTAATCCTAAATTTAAATAGTTCAAATGTACTTGGAAATACAGTTGCCAATGATATTTGATACTGTTCATGTAAATATTATGAGTCAAACTTATTTTCTAAGTGCAAGGTATATAGTATATAGGAAAATCGTGAATTGACATGCCTGAAACTATTTGGAAACCATTACAATGCTCTTAGCTTTCTAAATCTTACCTAGAAAGTATGTGTGTATTTTTTGCTTTTGTTTTTTGTAAAAGTGAGAGCAAAGGAGCACTTTTGTGTAGAACCATATGATTACACATAATATTTTGGAAGCTTGAAAGATGTGAAATAATTTATGCTTTACTACTTACTAGAACATCTTCACTTACTCATTAGTGCCTATTTTATTATTATATTATTTAATTTATGTATTACCCTTTAATTTTTAAAATATGGATATTTCTACAGTGTATTTTTGCAGAATTTGTAGCTATAATGAAGGCAGGAATTATTTTTTTACTTAGGTTTACCTTTAGATTATGTTATATGAAACTAACATTAAGCAAATTTACTCAAAAAGTGTTTAGTTAATGAATTTTAATATCTTTGTGAATTTTTAAAAATTTTGTGCCTTAATTTTCTTCTATTCATGAACATTTTGGAATTTCTTGAAAAAAGAAGCAATTTATTTCAATCTAGGGCAATATTCCAAATTGATTCATCCATCTGATCCACAAAAGTCATTCAGGGTTATGTTTCTAGTTATTATTAGATAATATCAAATTATTTCTGGATGTTATAGAATTCATATATTTAATCTTTGTTGGGGGAAAGTTATGCAAAACAAGGATGTGTTTTATAAAATATATGAAGCAATCAATAGAATATTGTAATTAAATGTTACTGAAAACCATAGAATAAATGCAATTGCTCTTTGAGATCCACAGGGCATTAATCCCAGGAACTCTTCCCATAACAGAATTGTTGATGTTCAACTCCCTTGTGTTATAATGGGGTGGTATTTTCAATAACTTATGTATTTCCTCCTCTACGCTCTAAATTATCTTTACATTATGAACAAGGCCTAATATTGCATAAATGCTATTGAATACTGTTGGTCTTTATTTAGTGATTAATGAGACAGTGAATTAGTACATGCTCAGTACAGATGCAGTATGTATTTTGTATCTTCAGTTTGTCAGTGTAGAAATTTTACTTTGTCATCTGTAAACTTGGTAAACAATAGAAAATGTAGCCATGTATTTATCTGAGAGAGAGCAAGAGCGAGAGAAAGAGTTGCTATCTGCTGGATCACCTTGCACATGCCATGAGGAGCTAGGCCTGACAGTGGCCTTACAGGATGGAGCAGGTTGGCATTCAGGCAGAGCAGGGAGCTGTGGGCTTTAATGTCTCCCATGTGGGTGGCAGTCACGACCTGCTGTCTCCATGAATCTTCCCTGGTAGCAAGTAGAATCAGGTGCTGTCTTCTACAGCACAAAGACTAGAACTGGAACAATGCAGAGAAGATGGGCATGGCTGTTGAACAGGGCTGACACACAATTGTGAAAATGTAAAATTTATGCATTTTATTTAACTAAATGTAATAATAATAACAATATGGGGAATGCAAAAAAAATGAAAGGGTGGAGGGATGTTGAAAGCTAAGATGAATTTATTCATTATTTTTATGCATGTCTTACTTCAGTGCCATTGTTGAAACTTATTTTGCATAAAAAAATCTTGCACATTCTCTTTATGAAGTCTTTCTATTTTCAAATTTAAATATACCTACGTTAGTAGCAGACATCTAAGAAAGGACATCCTTTAGTATCCTTTATCACTCTTAATTAATTATTGGCTAAATGACACAGAGGAAGGATTTGCATTGCAGCTTTCACTAACAGGACTAAAATAGAAAGGTCTTACCATGGCAAATGCAGGGTGGTAAATGTAGGGAGATCTGAAGAAAAAAGGGGTACTGCAGCCGACTTTGCAGGTTCACTTGAGGTTAGTGTTCATTACAAACCACGCAAGGTGAATTGTTGTAACTTCTTGTGATTTACGTAAGACATGGCTGGTTAATTATGAAGCTTCCCTTTTAAGATGAGACTGTTGTTGCAAATAGCACAAGTAAAAATACAAGGAAGGCATGAAAGCAAAAACTTTGAGTGCGTTTGATATATTGTAGCTGTAAAACTAAATTTCGTGATTTGCATGAACATCCTATCTGCTAATTATATATTTTTTCTATAACATTAATTTAAACCAATTTTGGATGCATTAGACTCAAACAATGGAAAGGATTTCAACATTTTCGTAATGACATCATTGTGAAAATATTTCATTTTTATTTCCTTTTGAATGATGTAGATTTTATCTTTTTAATCTAAAAGTGTATTATATGTTCTAAGATTACTGTAGTTCTTATGAGAATGAAAACTGGTGAATTATTTGATCAGGTACAATATATACTTCATTTACAAAATGTTTTTGGTTATGTGTTAAGCAAAAGTGTCTGGTTCTGGTGTTACCGTGACAGAAATTTTGTTTCTTTGAATTTTTATTATATATTTTTACTGGGTCACACAGCATTTAGTAGAAAGAAAATTGATAAGGTAACCAGCAGGTCTCTGTTATATTTTGGCTCTGCCACTATAGTTGTTATGTGTTATATATGGTAAGTCTCTTGAACATTATTTATCTGAAATTTTTTTTCATCAATGCCACATCAAAGAAAACCAAGTTACAAAAAAATGGCAAGAGGGAAAAGAAGCATAATTGACTTAGTATTTTTACCAAGGGAAATATCTTAGAAATGAAATATTTAAACAAGTGTTTCATCAGTTCATACCAATTCCATCTTGACTTAGAGGGAAACTATTATAGTAATATAATGTATATGTAACTAGGGAAACTTTGTATGTAAAAGGTAATGTATTATAAGATTAAATTTAGTATTAATCCTTGCTACTAATGTCTGTGACTTTTCTATTTTGTCTTCTGTAAGAAATGGGTGGATTGGGATTTAAAAGAAAATATAACTTATGTCATTTTAATGACTGTGAACACTTTCAGGAAGATGCAAAGATATTTTCCTAGTTGTCAATACTATTAGCCAGGCTCAGGTTTTGTAATAATTATGATGAGATTTGGTGTTGATTTTGAATGGTTAAAAAAATGTGCTATATGATAATATGAGGTTGTTGTTTCCAAGTGTGTTAAGTTTCCAAATGGGTCATAGCTCCCTCCTCCCATTCTTTATAATTTATATTAGGATATCTCCTTCTTTCCCAATAAAATGGTTCAATGATTTTTACTACTTTTTTTCTCATGGAGAGTTATCATTTTCTCACTGTTCATGAAAAGATAAAGTTCTATCAGTATTCATTCTCTGAAAGGCTACACTGATGCTTTGAGTGTATTTTCATATAACATACTTTTACATAAAGATCTCATAAATCATGTTACAAGACTAAATAAGTTGTTTGATTTAAAATTTGTGGCATCTGATTCAATGCTAAGTAGACAATTGAAATAGGAACTTTTTACTGTATTTTTTCATCTGTGTCAATCTTACTAATGCTAATCAACTAATATTGTGCGAAAATATTTTCCTGTGAATGCTGAGTTTAGAGACATTCTCTTTTTTTGTATCACTGTGTAAAATGCCTTATGAATTAGTACTTGGGAAAGAAGTGTTTCCAACTTATTTGCCATATGTTTTAGAATATATGTTAGATTTGAATTGCCATATTTTAATAGAAATTTATTATCTCAGATGATCTATGATCTTCTGTAATCTATAATGTGTTGTTTGTGAGAATTTTCTGAATAGGCATCTAACTTAAAGTTACATTCAAGTTTAATATTGAAATTGGATAATATATTTCAACAGTTTTGATTATCAGTTGTATTACATTATTACTTCCTGATATTTTTACAAAATATTTTACTATTTTAAAGTGATTTAATAGAATTCTGACCTGATGGGCCTATTCTTTTTCATATAAGCATTTGTTATTTGGGAAAACCTAACGTAGGATAAGTGTCTTATTGCTTTTTTTGATGACCGAATGAGTTGTTTTTTCTGAAAAGTTATATTCAAAGCATAACTTGATTCAATTACATTTTGCACAATATGGTCACACAAGTAACATTCATTTTACTAACGACATCTTTCTTTAGCATCAAGGTTCAAGACTGGCTGTGCATAAATAATTCTCAATTTTTGAATTCTCTTTATTTTTACACTAACTTTGTATTTCTATTTCTACTAACCTACAGTAGCTTAACCAGTTGGCTATCAGTTCTTGCGGTTTTGTGTGTGTGTGTGGTATATTTTTTATTATATTTTCCCCACAACTGTATACAGGATTCTTTCCCAGACGTTTTGGGGCTTTTTCCTTCAGTGTCACATTTTCTTTTGAGTACATCCACTCATACCCATCTCCTTTGTCTATGTCTGTCCATTACACGATGTGATCACTGAAGAAGTGGATTCTACAAGCAGAAGATATGCAGGTGTGTCTCTTCTACAGCTTTTCTTTGTTTTCATTTATCTAATGTCTCCTAGAAAGTTTTGCCTTTTTCTACTCATTGTACAACTTTTCTTTATTTAATATAAAAATAATAAATCTTATAGGTGTGATTAGATATTTATATAGTCAATTTTTGCCAGCTAATGCTTCAGTTAGATGAATAAGCACAGAATGATTAATTTATGTAATATGTAGATGTGTAGTTTTATAACAAGCCGCAGATGCAATATGTATATGTGGGTTAGCTACATTATACTAGCAAATTAATTATACTGTCTTAGACCAGAAAGATATTTCCAACTTTATAAAAATTAATTTTGATTTACTTTACTTCTGGTATGAATTCGCTAATTTGGGATTTCACTATTTTGGGTGGGAGATGCCAAAGACTTAATACATACGTTTAAAGAAGATATCAGTATCAATGAGTAGTTAGGACTTTTTATGCAAATGTAGATGATTCTAACAATAGATTCTACAAAGATAGATAAAGAAATATTTTATAGCTGTTAGACCAAATATTGCTTTATGGAAGAGAATACACTTGAACTGAAACCTGAGGATTCTTTCAACTCACTAACACACACTTATTAAACATATGCTATGCAGTGTTGTCCTAGGAACTGGAAATTAATAGGAAATAGAAATGGCTACTTAAGTGTTTGATTTTTTTTCTTTACAATAAAAAAGATTTATTTTATTTATCTGAAAGAGTTAATAGACAGAGAGGCAAAAACAAAATGAGAATTTTCCATCTGCAGTTCACTCTCCTGGGGGCCAGAAAAACTGGGTTGGATTGAGCTGAAGCCAGGAGCCTGGGACTTCTGGGTTTCCCATATGGGTGCAGGGTCCCAAGGACTTGAGCCATCTGCTGCTGCTTTCTGAGGCACCTTAGTAGAGAGCTGGGTTGGAAGTGGACCAGCAGGCCTTATACCAGAGCCCAAATAGGATGCTAGTGGTAGCTTAATGTAATGTGCCACAGTGCTGGGCTACTACGTTTGGACTTTTTCTAGGATGAATCTAATGTAATCTAAGTAGGTGTTATAATTAATTATTGATTCTATGAGATAATTTTCTATATAATATTACAGGCATATCTGTAAGTGATAATTCACATATATACATACATATATAATTTGTACATACAATGGAATTACAAAAGATAGCATGACTATTTCCATCTGGGAAAGATGGGTATTAATTCACTGAAGACTGTATATAAGAAATAGCATTTGAATTGATCTGAAAGGCTAAATAAATGTTGCCTCTTATGTAATAGAGCATTTTGGCAGAAGAAACGATATCAGTTATGTCAATGAAATTTAGGCAAAAGGAGGCAGGGACAGAATTCAGGAGGATCACATGATTAGTGAAGTAACAGAATAATCAGATCAGACATCATATGTTAGGCAGATTACTGGAGTGATATTAGCATATCATTTCTGAGATGATAATTCTCTGAATTAAAATATAGAGTTTATCAGAATGTGAGAAGTTATTGAAAGATATAGAATCTACAGGTCTTACTGATTTTGTATTGATGAGGGAATATGGAGAACAAAGTGATCTCATGTGTTTAAAATGCTTGGATATTTTACCAGTATGAGAATAAAGATTTTACATGTTTTAGTGGAAAGACTAAAATTTCATACTGGAGATGATTTGGGTTTAAGACCAGTTTTGGAAATTCAAATAAAAATATCTAACAAAAGAAACTGGATTTGTTTGCTTGGAAATCGGGAGAGAAGTCTGGACTGGAAACAGTATATTATAGAATACCAGTATTGGAGTGATGCCACTCTAAGAATGAAATTGTCAGATGAATATAAAGCATGGGAAGAGAACCAGAAGTCAAGGTTTGGGCATCACTAATATTTTATTTACATTTAGGGAGGAGTTGAGAGAACAAAAGCAAGAGTGTTCTTTTGGAGAGAACCAGAAAAAGCAAATGAGGGGCGTTCAAAGAGTTTGTGAAAATACTTATTGTGAAAAATTCAGCATACATTTTTGGCACCAAAATAAACTTTTCTAGCTTCTTTAGACATGTCTAATCAGAATCCGAGCCACTAAACAGAATAAGGAATTAGTCTGAAAGGAACCTGTTTCAAAGCTAAATCAGTTCTGCTAATAGGATCAGATTTATGGTGAATCGTGAACTCATTGATTCTTTAGGAAACATATACAGGGACAGTACCATCAATGAAATAAACACTGTAGAACTGAACAGTTCATGCCAAGAAGGGATAAGACCATGTGGAAGATGAAGCTCACAGAAACAGGCCATCATGATATGATTGGGAAGAAGAAAAAAAATATTCTTGTCCTTGCCCTAATTGGGAAAAAAAGATTAACAGCACAATGATAGAAAGATGGGGAAGGAGTAGAGAGGGGACATAGGAGAGAGATCTTTTTCTGGTTCACAACCTAGAAGGCCTTTTTAGCCAGTGCTGGAGCCAGGTTTCCCATGTGAGTGGTAGGGGCCCAGGTGCTTATACCATCTTTTGCTGCTTTTCTCCGGCCAATAGAAGGGAGATGGATCAGAAGTAGAAAAGCAGAAACTTGAACTTGTGCTCAAATAGGATGCCAAGGAAACTATTGGCTTAACTAGCCATACCTCTGTGCCATCCCTAGGATGAACATTTTATGGTAGTATTATCTGTAATACTCCATTTCCTCCAAGTGTGGAATAGCCAAAACCTGGATTTCTATTGTAAACCCCTTGTACTATAAATGAGATCTTGGTCTGTATTATTCAGCATTGTGTTTATCACTTCACGAATTCACCTTACTTTAGAACTAAATAAAGTCTTATGGATTTCATTCCAAAGATAATAATTCCAACTACACACATTTTCAGAATTATTTCTACCTCTGATATATATCTGATACCTAATTCTTGTTGTTATGTCAATTTTATTCACAAGAAATCTCTAAGACAACTTTATTTACTATGTTTATATGAAAGGCAGAGTTACAAAGAGAAAATGAGGAACCACTTGGTGGTTCATTCTGCAAATGGCCACAGTGGGCAGGGCTACTCCAAGCCAAAGCCAGGAGCTTCTTCCAAGTGTCCAACATGGGCAGCATGAAGCCACACACTTGGACCATGTTGTACTGTTTCTCAGATACCCTAACTTGGGACTGGATTGGAAGTGAAGCAGTCAGTACTCAAACCAGTGCCAGATGGGATGCCTTGGCTGCAGACAGCAGCTGAACCTGTAGCTGCACAATGCCAGCTCCCCAAACATTCAGTTTTACCTGGACCTACCATGCACTGTAAGTGTATGTTATGAAAGTTTCAGCCATTAAGCAAACGATTTGTTTCTGTAAGAAGTATTACTTTAGGAAGCAGTTTATGACTGCAGACCCCGGAAGTACATCGCATGATCAACTCCACCACCGTTGTGATTATGAGAAAGTTCCTCTGTATTTTAGGTTCCTGTTGTGCAAATGGGAATGATAGTAATACTAACACAAATGGTTACTGCTATAATTAAAGTAGATACTTTGTAATTTGCAAAACACCTGAAAGCTCTCTGGTTCAGTCTAAGTAAAGACAATTAACTAACTAGAAAAATTAGAGCAACATTTTGGTATGTAAGCATTCCTTCCATGATTCGGATTATTTCTTTTTGTTATATGCATTAACATATGCTAGTTTATTGCTGTTAGTTTAGGAGGCAAATGACATGCAAATGCATCAAGTCTACCATACCTATTCTTTTTAGCTTGTCATTTCTAAAGCAAGTTAGTTAAAGGCTAGAACAAGAACATTGGAACCAGAATTCTGCCTCTTAGAATATATCACAAAAACATATACTGCAATTTCAAATATTTAAGGTTCTTTATATTTCTAAAATTCAAATTATGCATTGTATAAATCTTTAGTAGAAAAATAGGAAAAGCGTACATATATTTTCCTAAAAAATAACTCTAGTGGTAAGTGAATGTATGAAAGCAATTATTGGTTGTTATTATTACTATACAAAATTATTATTATTATATAAAAGTCAATAAATGTATTCTAAATGCAATACTATTTTTCACATTTTTAGAAGACCTTAGTGAGGATGTGTACAAAAAATGATAGTGCAAATTACTATTGTTTTTCTGTAAAGCAATTTTGCCATCTAAATCAAGACATTTAGAATATTCCTGGGCTTTAGATCTGGTCAAAAAATAGAGACTTAGCTAAAAATGTTTGCACTAAGGCTACCAAAGCATTGCTTTTCATAATAAAAGGATGTTATTGTGAATATTAATAAAATAATAGATAAATCAATTATGTGTGAATCCATGTATTTAAGTGATGAATTTTGTAAATGTTAAATTTTTTAAATCATTTTTTTCAATTGGAAAGATTACAAAAATTTTTAAGTGTCTAACAGTTGGAGAGAATATCTAAATAATTCATGGATTATTCAGGCTATTCAAATTTCTTCTCTTGTTGTTTTTCTATTAACAAATATCCATTTTTCCTGGAATTATAGCCTTCTCAGGATTTAATGCATTGTTTGTGAAAATATGAATATGAATTTATAAGTGATAATATAAAGCAGAAATTAATAAAATCTTTTTTATAAAATAGACAAATAACAGAAAATGATTCTACTTATATGATTTCCTGGTTATTATAAACTGAAATAACATAATTGATGCATTTTCAAAATAATTTTTGAAATTCTTATTTTAGTGCAATAAACATACTTCACATTCTAAACTTGGTTCAACAAATATTTAATAAATACACATCAGGCCTTATTTTAATAGTGCCTAAGTCATATAAGATCTGTTCAATCATAGAAGTTATAATCTTGGGAGAAGAAATAGTCACTAAATAAGATGAACATGGGAAATTGTAAATGTTATTGCTTAAAACCTCTATATGACCCAGGAGACTTGCATGTTTACATGTAATTTTTAATGGAGTAATCTAGAAAAATCTGATCCTCATGCAAATTTGATTTTGAATGAAAAGAATAA